ACTCTTCTGTGCTAAACTCTCGATGTATACAGTTGTGTTAATTAATACACTTTATCGTATATAAATACAGTATGTGAAGTTAAATGCATGCTATTATGCATGTAAACTAACAGATAAACACATCCGGAGCAGATTTATAATTTCCTCTGGTTATATGTAGAATTGCAAATCAGCTTTAGTGTAAATATTTGCATGGAGGCACATAGATTAAACTGCACACACACTATGAGTAATGCATTGCTCACATAAACACACACATACTGCAGCCCAACATCTGTTACGTGTGAATTCTCTCCGAGAAAATGGGACACCTGTCTGAGAGACTGTCTCACTCTGACCGGTGGAGGAGGTTAAGGTCATGTTAGCTCTTAGCCATTACTAGAGCGGAGAGGGAGGAATCATTAAGGGAGAGAGAAAGAGAAGGGCAACTGAAGGAGACATAAAATGATGAGAGTTAAAAATGAAATCATTATGAATGCTTGGCTGTATTTCTCTGTTGTTATTGCTAACTAAATGTAAAAAAATGTTTTTGTTCATTAAAATAAAGGAGTAAAATCAAATATTAATATTAGATTAACAACTGCAACTTAAAAAACCTTGAAAATTAGAAATGAAATAATTTTAAGTTGAAGTACTGATATTACCAGAACTAAATCTGAAATAAAAATGAAGTCATAAAAATAAAACTAAATGGAAATATTACAAAAACGAATAAAAACGACAAAAGCACATTAAATTAAAACTTATACTAAATTTAAAATGAAAACAGAAAGTATGAAAATAAAAACTAATTTAAAATATGAATCAGTATTATAATAGCATACATAATAATAAGATGACACTACTGAATTTCCATTTTTCCAGAGGAAAATATAGGACGCGTTTTCAAACCTCACATTGAATATACACTCTTAAAAATAAAGATTCTTGATATTTTTATATCAAACACTATCTTGATATAAGATATTTTTAGTTCCATGAAAAAAGCCTTCAACATCCATGGAACCTTTTTTAATTGCACCAAACGTTCTTTATAGTGAAGCAAGGTTCTCTAGATTATTAAAATGCTCTTAACACTAAGAAAAAATGGTTCTTATAAGAACTCTTTACTAAAAGATTCTTTTGGGGAGCTCAAAATGGTTCTTCTCTGGCATCACTGTGAAAACTCCCTTTTGGAACCTTTTTTTTAAAGAGTGTAAGTACTTAATCTCAAATATTTCTCCAAAAAAAAAGACAGAAATGAGACTTGTATGAATTAGAAATGTTTGAGTTCATAAAAAAATAAAGCATCTTTTAAAACATTTGAGAGTACTGGAGACATTTCCCCAGGAGAAAAATATGAGAAACAGGAGACTTAAAGGGAATTAAAAATAAAATTCGCCATTTCTTTTCACCATACACTCTTAAAAATAAAGGTGCTTAAAAGGTTCTTCACAGCGATGCCATAGAAAAACCATTTTTGGTTCCACAAAGAACCATTCAGTCAAAGGTTCTTTAAAGCAGTGTTTCCCAACCGGGGTGCCGTCTGTTGAGAGCAGGGGTGCCGTGTAAAAAATCTCTTTTTAATAGTTTTAAATTGCTAAAATGTTCAAAAAAAGCATCTATTATATAATATCCATTTCTGATGTCGCCCATAATTAGAGATGCACCGAAATTCCGGCTGCCGAAAATTAGTTCACCGCTCAGGATTCACTTTCAGATGGTGTGACGCTCTGCGTATTATCCCGCTCTATGCGTGTGTGTGCTCCGCTCGCTCCACTCATATACCGTTCATGCTCATCGGAACAGCAAAGTCCGCTCAAAAATCGAGCCGACAGGAAACATCTATGTAGTACTGTTTCTGTTTGCAATAGCCCTACTGTAACATGGTGTGGTATATGGGCAACTCTGGTAATGCTGCCCTTTCATTCACTGATCTGCTAACCGCTATGTTATGCTCACGTGTTCTGATAATAATAGCTTTCTAGGACTAAACATTATTTGGATAATTGGTAAAAAAAAAAAAAGCAGTTCTTCCCTGTTGTACCGAATATCTATACTTTCAAATTATCATATCGAAGTTAGAAATTCAAATATTGTGACAAAATTAATTTTGTAGGGTGCCACAAGTAAAATTTCCAAAGGGTGCCGCGACTAAAAAAAGGTTGGGAAACACTGCTTTAAAGAACCATCTCTTTCTTACCTTTTTATAATCTGAAGAACCTTCTTTCGCCACAAAGAACTGTTTGTGAAACAGAAAGGTTCTTCAGATGTTAAAGGTTCTTTATGGAACCATTTAGACAAAAAGGTTCTTCTATGGCACCGTGAAGCACCTTTATTTTTAACGGTGTAGGGGATTTTACAGTTTGTCTTCCATACAATGAAAATGAACAGTGACCTAACATAATAAAAACATCATAAAAGTAATGATCTATATTACTTGTTTGCTATTACAAGAGCTATATTTGAGAAACAGACCAATTTTGTAATTCACTAAAGTCTTGACTTGAAAATCTGCAGTGGTCACCATTCACTTGCACTGTATAGAAACGAGCAGCTTGCTTATTCTGCTACTCTTTTTGTAATCCATACAAGAAAGAAAATCATATCATATCAAATCAGATTTTTAAAAACACAAGAATTTAAGAAAATAGTCACATCATTTTCATTTTATTTGAGCTTGTTTTTCTTGCCTTTTTGCACCTTCAGGCTGTGAAATTATTTGACCTCCTATTTCCCCAGGACAGTCCCGTTATTGCCGATCTGATGAAATCTCATCAGTAAGCTCATAGTTCAGGCAGAACAAACAAAAGCGCTTGAGGACGTTTCAACAGAGAATAAGGAGACCCTTAGAGGCACACAAGTATCGACAACACACCCAAGGAGAGGTGCGAACGCTGTCTGAGAAACACTTCCCTTTTTAAACCCCAACAGCTGCATTCACATCTGCAACACCACACCACAGTACACAACATAAGCGTAACAAATAAAGAACCGTGTGTGGTGTGACTCAGACAAACAGCAGTGCTCCATCAACAAAAAGCACCCGGTGAGGATTAGACAACACAACCGGAGCGGATAAAAGGAAGAAGGTATCGAATCCGGTCTACGCAGAACACATGCCTTCACTTTCCAGCTTAACCACAGCAGCTGATGCAGTGAATGAACTGCGGTAGGGGACTTCAGCTGTTTTATCCCTGCACACATAAGTTAGGGAACAGAATAAAGGCGTCAGCTAATCTAAAGTGTATCCATTGACACAGGAAATAAATACCGCCTAGTATTTCCTCATTTACACATTACACAGTCTGTGTTTTGACTATATTAATGGCAGTTGGAAAGGAGCCACATAAGTATGAGTCTACACCACAGAACCATGTGTTAGCAAAAACACAGTGGGAGGCTGCTCTTTCATTCACTGACTCACTCTGCAGAATAAACACAGCTCTTATCATCAATGGACGGAAAGGAAACCGCTGAAAGCCCAATTCACAGGTGATGAGATTTGGATGGTATACGCAGCTGTCTTGGAGATATAATACGAGATATTGTGTATTAAAACAATTTGGGGATATCAGAACCTTAGGACCCAATCCTCAAATGAAACGCTCCATTAGCCGTGCGGTTTTTAAAGCGTAATTAATCCCTAAGTGCTGACGAATCAGTACATGGACAAACAACTGGCAGAGACATGATTCATTTTGACTGCCTGCTCTGCAAAGTCGGAAAGCCTTTTATTTTTAAACCAACTAATCACTTTAATTAATGAACAAAGTGAGGCACTTGTGAGCCACTAGGCTACTGTATGTGGGCTGAAGGATACAGGCATCAATACAATTTACAATGTAGCGTTAAATGCAATATTTTCATGTGAAATGAAAGTAATTATGTGGCAGAAGAGACCTAGACAGAAAATAAGAAAAGAAACAAAAGGAGCCCGAAAAAGAATGGAAAGAGACAAATTTTGACATAAATGTCCATAAGGACTTTGCTAATGAATCCATGTGATTGATTAATTGAAAAGAATCAATTAAAAAGAATGATTCACAAATTGTACATTAATATGGCTTGCATGCAAGGTTTAACGTACAGAAGAGTTTTGTTTGAGAATGAACAACTATTCATAACAGGGGCTCATTACTTTTACATGACTTTTAAACTATTATTATTTATTATTTATATGATATAAAATATTTTATATAGTATATATACTAAGCAATTATAAGATAATATAGCATATATTCAGCAAACAGTTCAAAGGGTTTGGGGTCGGCAAGTTTTTGTTGTTGTTGAGAAATTAATTTACAAAGATGCATTAATTTAATAAGAAGTGACAGTTAAGACATTTATAATGTTACAAAAGATTTCTATTTAAAATAAATGCTGTTCATTCAAACTTTTTATTCATCAAAGAATCCTGAAAAAATGGTCTCTACTAAAATATTAAGAAGCACAACTGTTTTCAACATTAATAATAATAAATGTTTCTTGAGTACCAAATCAGCATATTTCATTGATTTCTGAAGACTGACACAGAAGACTGGAGTAATGGCTGCTGAGAATTCAGCTTTCCATCACAGGAATAAATTACATTTTAAAATGAATGAAAAAAATAAGTTTTTTAATTGTAATAATATTTCACAATATTACTGTTTTTGTATTCTTTTTATTCATTTACTTATTCATTCATTCATTTTTTTTATCAAATACATGCAGCCTTTGTGAGCATAAGAGATCATGAAACTTACCGACCCCAAACTTTTGGTGTGTGATAACTAAAAAAATGTATATTGACTATAGAATTACCCACTTTTAATATCTCAACAAAATTCCAAATATTAATTTATTACCACATTTTTCATAACTGTGGGAGCCCTGAGAAGAGAGAAGAGTCAGGATGAAACAAAAAGAAAAGAGGTGTAAAAAAAAACTTATTGTTGTACTGAGGAAAGTAAGGCAGCATATTCCCTCACTGCCTAAATCTGAGACCCCCTCTCTGCTTGTCAGCTCTGCTTTCTCACCAGGCCTGTGGCTTTCTCTTCAGCAGCCCCTGCCGTCTCCACTGGGAGTGTGGGCTCAGGTGGTAGGTCAGCTGACGGCACACCTTCTCCATGGCACCCAAAGCATCTCCCTCCTGACAAAGACAGGGAGAGAGACCACATCAATCAGGCTGTAACACACAGCAGGGTAATGGGAACTGGCAGAAGATCAGGGTATCTGAGCCCTCAAGGTAAAATACTAATTTCTTTGACATTTATGATGACAGAGGAGCAAAGCTATATGGACTGACCGACATGTCACAAACACAGTCTGGCTCTATCATTAGGTCATCTGAGGTTAGGGAGTGCGTATGCATGTGATTTGGTAAAATGCATTAGCATGTAATGGATTAGCGACAAATTGATGTATTGTATGGCCATCTCTGGAAAGCTTTATTATTTTAACTCACATTCATCACTGCCTAAAGCAATCCAATTTGCAGAGACACGGACACTCATACACACACTGCCTCAAGTAACTGCCACACTCCTCTAGATACAAACTATTTCTGCCAATGTTTAACACATAAATTACCAAGAAAAGAAAAGCGCCGCATATTCCTGCAGGGCTGCCAATAATTAAATCTAAGGATGCACTGATATTACAATTCTGGATGATAACCAATAGGTGGCTAATAAATATTCAAATTCTATACTATTTTGTGAATTCAGGATTAATTAGAAATTTAGTATGAAAATGGATATTCATTTTGAGATTTGGTAAAGATTATATTTAATGTTGTTGATTATTTATAATAAACTACAGTATATGAATTCAAAGATGACTGCAGTGATAATCTAAATAAAAAAAAAATTCAATATCTAATACCAATTGATACTAATGAATTTAATTACAAAATACATGTAAACATTTCTATAAGTGTTGTTACTGTTAAGTAAAATGTTACAAATAATTTTTGTTTACAGAAATAAAATAAAATAAAATAAAACAAACTTAAAATGCTGCCTTGGGAACTTACAAAATTAGTTTAAACTTAAGTAATAACATGACTAAAGCTACATTTATAAAAAAAAAGCTCTATTTATAAAAAAAAAAAAAAAAACTAATAAAAATGACAAAAGCTGATAAAATATTACATTTAATCCAAACTCTTGTCAGTGCCGATAGCCTAGTGGGCAGTGTGCTGATATATAACGATGTTGCGTTGTGGGTGTCCCGAGTTCGAATCCCGGCTCGAGGACCTTTCCTGATCCCACCCCCCTCTCTCAATCCCCCTTTGCTTCCTGTCTACTCTACACTATCATATGTGACTCTGGAGCACAAAACCAGTCATAAGTGTCAATTTTTGAATAAATAAGCTTTCCATTGATGTATGGTTTGTTAGGATAGGACAATATTTGGCCGAGATACAACTATTTGAAAATCTGGAATCTGAGGGTGCAAAAAAAATCTAAATATTGAGAAAATCACCTTAAAGTTGTCCAAATGAAGTACCAATCAAAAATTAAGTTTTAATATATTTAAGGTAGGATATTTACAAAATATCTTCTTGGAACATGATCTTTACTTAATATCCTAATGATTTTTGGCAGGGCTGGACTGGGACAAAAAATCGGCCCAGGCATTTTTTGGTCCAGGCGGCCCACCACCACATATATATATATATATATTTACATTTAGTCATTTTTAGCAGCAGACGCTTTTATCCAAAGTGACTTACAAATGAGGACAATAAAAGCAGTCAAAACGAACAAATGAGCAACAATATATAAGTGCAAATGACAAGTCTCGGTTAGCCTATCGCAGTTAGGGGTGTGCGATATTGACAAAAAATTGTATCTCGATATTTTATGGGATTTTATCGATAACGATAATTAGACGATATTTTGCTGAGTGTGTTATTGTGCTGATACCTTAAGGACTGCAGAAGACAGCTGACTCCTAATGTTTTTAATATTCTTCATATTCTGTGTGGTGGTCAGTTCATACTGATAGAAATTAATCTTTTCCAATAAGTTTAAACTGATTT